TATAATCACTATAAAAAATCAGGCTCAACTCTCCTCGACAATCGAGGGCAAGGAAAAAGAAGATTGGGTAAGTACTTTATTTCTTGTTTTTCATATTTCTTTATTTATTACTATAAAATTAACTAAAATCTAAAAATACAGATCTCTAAGTTATTTAAGACTAGATTAGGTAAAATAAGTAATAATAATAATAATAATTAATTAAAATTATTCATGAGGCACGCACACAAGTAGCTTGTAATAGCTCATGGGTAATGCATGTTCCCCAAGTGATTTACAATTTATACTGGCGTGGACAGCAGTTAGATACAGTTCAAAGGGCAATAAAACAATAAAATTTAATTATCAATAGATGTATACTTTTATGAAGTTAGAACTACTTAGGATAAATGATTATAGTTTCATGTTACAATTTGAAGTCATTCTAGAAATAGAAAAAAGGTTATTTAGGTTTATTTAAATTTTTTTTTGTTGGTTACTAGGTCAGTCGAATTGACCTATCTTGTTTTGAGATAGATAAAATATAAAGTTTTACTGAACATTTGAAATGCATTTAGGAGGTTTTAGGGATTACACAAAGTTAATTTGATATTTTTGAGATGAGAAAAAGTATTTTTAATTTTAACATGAAAAATTACTTTGCACACAGACTATTCTAAACAAATACTCAGTATATTCATGGACAAATCTTTATTTTATTAAAAATACTTCACTAAGAAATATGACTTTATGTATGTGAAAGACTTATAATATTAACTGAAAGGCTGCAAAATTTTGTGAAGATATACACACTGTATTGAAAGTTAGAAATATTAAATCTATAAAGACTTTAAATGAGTACAAAGTAGTTGCATAGTCGGTCAAATTGACCGAGCTTGTATAGAGAGAGTTAAGATGCATATGGGACATTTACATTAATTAGTAAGACTAACTTCAGCAGTACTGATGGTTTTTTTATTTCACCCTTTCCAGATGGGTCATGAGTCAAAGGTCATGTAATCGTATTTATTGACTCGTATTCAGAATTTTATTGAACTATTATTTCATGAATTTATGTTAATAAGTTTGGGTATCAAACTGTAGATTGTAATTCAAATTTCAGATTATACATTATTTAATTTCAAAGTAAATATTAAAGAAACATGATATGTTGAATGCAGCACTAGTTCAAATTAGATGTTTGATGTCAAAATACTAAGTCTCTCATTTCATATGAATTAGGAACTGAAATTACCGATATTGATAAGCTAGAATATACAACAAGAATTTCATATCTTTTTTTATTTGCTGAGATATTGCTCATGTACTGAATCAAACACAGAGGCCTCACTCACCTCTTTCCATTTGCTTCAGTATGTGACACATGAATAATCAATCAAAAGCTCAGAATGCCTCCTCAGTGGCTTTCTCAGCCATTTTGAAGTGTTAGGATACCATCTCATTCTTTCAACCAGGATTTCAAGGAGGTAGATTGTGTCTTTAGGGAGCTCAAAGTTTCACATTAGTTACTAAGCTTGATAACTTCTAGTGGAATTCTGTGGTATTGATGTAGTAATTTATGATATTTTGGTTATTCAAATGTATATCTAAAACTTAAACAAATTATTTTGTTTCATATCTTCCATGTGCAAAATTTTTAAAGGCTTAGCAACCTATGTCAAGCAGCAACCGAGTACAGAGGTTGAAACTAGAAGAGATAATTGTTTACTTTACTTC